CGGTCGATCTCAAAACACAACATGAAGAAGTTGGGTTTTTAGCAATGCTTGAAGCTCTTCTGTTTATTCAAACGAAATGGCTCATGAACAGTGATAATTAAATTTTAGCGGCACACCAAACTATCTGAAACAGGGAATAAAGCATTTTAACACAACTGGGGTAGGTTTAAATTTAAATCAAATCTTCCGAATTGTGTTTGGATTGTACTAGATGCCCAAGCTACTTCATAGAAACCGAAATTATTCTAAAACCCTCCCTAGAAAATATAAACCGTTTGAATCCGATGGTTTGTCGTTATCCAATTTTAACGATTTAGACTCAGTTTTGCACGTTGTTGTGAGATGACCGAGAGAATGTATTGGACAGCTGCTTTTCCGCTCCTGGGACTCGTCAGTAGCACGAATCCCCAATAGATGAAACTGACAGCTAAGTAAGCGCAAAGATCATTAACAATATCACGTCTCCGTAAAGTTCACGCAGCCCAACCCAAGTCATGAACCGACATGATAGTGCACGGTGGATAACGAACAGAGGACTCCTCTCTTCTGTGTGTAAGAACAAACAGCGTTACAAGGGGATGCGCCCCGTTGAAAGCCATTAGGGAGTCACTGTGAATGAAATCACTTCAAGTCTAATGCAGCTATTACTCTGTTTCTTATCTGCCAGGCACGACCATGTTGATCTATGAATTGGGACGGGCTACTTGGGCCTTATCTTTATTTTTATCGAATTCTGGAACACGAGCTTTCCTGCCCTATTATTTCATTATCTATCTGGAACAGGCAAAATGCTCCATCATACAAAGACATTATAAACTAGTTTCAAAGTCGGTAGAGGAGGCATTTGTTTTTCATGCTATTTACCGTGTGCGTTGTTGTGAGCTACTTAAGCTCCACACAAAAGTGCATGATTAACGGTCTTATAAACAGAACTGAAATTTCTGGTTTACTCGACTCCTCTGTTCCCTGGTGTTTTCCGACCTTGACCGATGCAATAGAAGATGCGCCCTACTTGTTTTTCACGAACTTGAGGTGTCTCTCTATTTCTCTCTGATCTTCACCCACTTGCAGTGAGCCGGATCATTGTTATCTCTTCAGTCACTAATAATGGATAATATAAGGATATGGCCGTTATTGGGGGGGGGGGGCNATCGCTGTCTAAACGCCATTGTACGAGTCTAGTGAGAAAACAGGATGATCAGTACGAAACGTTAACTTGGGGTTCAGCGTCTTCACTCACGCAATAACGTCTGTGCTAAATCATCATGGCCACTATTGTGGTTATTATTTTTTATTAACGTTTCTCTCTTCTCTATTTTGTTTTCCTGTTTGTCCTAGAATATGATGCATGGAAAGTGTGCCTTCAGTTGCGCGATCACGGTCTACTGGCAAAACCCACGCATGATACCATAATTCGACTAGCTCCACCATTAATCATTACAGAAGAAGAGTTGGACAAGGCAATTGAAATTATTCACAATGTGATAAAATCGATTGCTTGATTGGCATGTGTTTTGGCGCTTATTCTCCTGCGTTTTGCACGGACGCAAACACGGTTATTGTTGTTTGTGCTGTTTCGTTCTAGTCATGTGTTCTTTCCTTCCGGTTTGTGAAGCTTCTTCCTATTCTTTTTATTGGTGATATTTTTTGTAATCCGTTTCCACCCTCAGTTTCTTTGTCATTGTAATTGGTGCCGTTGCGTACCTGTGCTTGTCTTACCCGTAATTTGAAGAGTCCTGCTCTGACGGTTTTTGTGTGTCACATCTTTCTTCACCAAAAAGAATGAGCCCAGTTTACTTGCTTTTCGTGTACAAAGACGTGAATAAACCCCGGGGCAAGAACGCTTTTATGTCCTGAACTTGATTCCTCGCTTATCCTTGTTTCATGGTCAGCAGTGGGAAACAGGTCGTGTTTCGTGTTTACAACCGACCGTTTCTTTTGTTCTCCAGTTCTTTGTCATGTTTTCATGTTACAGATCTGTTTCCTCCTGGTGTCGAAATTCGGATGTGTTCTGCTGAGAATATACAGTTCTATGCCTCAATCCTTGTCTGCTCGTTACCCACACTGTTTGAAAAGCTATTTTTTGTGATTCCGCTACTGGCGATTTCGAGTAAATGACCAGCGGAACTTTAATTAAGCGTCCAAGCAAGACTTTCTCTCCTGTTTTGATAATGCATTAAGATTACGTGCAAGTGTCGTGATCATTCACTGCAATCCTTCCCGAACGTTGTTCTCATACCCTCGGTTCACACTCTAAACGGTGGGATCAATGTGTTGACTTGTATCGAGGTCTCCATAAAGGTTAGGCTTGGTACGCAACGTATTGTGCTCGAAAAATAACGGAGGAACGCAGCTTGCCTTAGAATATTGGAACCGAGGAAGAACATAGGCCGTTTGCATTTTGTGAGTGTAGCTGTGTTATTTGGCAATGATGCAATTCTTGTTACAGACCTAACAGAGATTCTATTGCTCCTGTTTTTTTTCGTACGGTATTTGTTTGGGCCTTCACAGAAGAGACTGCTGTTACTATTTTTCCACATGAAGTACACCGTTCTTAAAGCATTTTCATTAGGAACTCAATTAAAGCGAGCTATTTTTAGCCAAATAATAGATTCTACCGCACACATCATACGTCAAATAGATTGGACGGCATTAGACTTCCCGAAAATGTCTTTACTTTCACACACTGGAAACTCAAATTAACGTATCTCAATATTTATGACGAGTACCGTGTGAGAAGTTGTAGGTGGATCGTATCTATCAAGCTTTTTCAACAGTATTGCGTTTTCGGTTGACCCAAAGTACACCTGCGACGATACAAAGGTGGACAAGATCAAACTAATTCTACATGATGCAGAGCGAAGACTAAAGCTAGTCTCGTTAGATAATCTCAAAACTGGATGTGAAACTCACACCGGTCGGGAGGTTATTTGCTCATCTAGATTCATCGAGTTGTGGGATAGTCCAGGAGAGCTTGTGCTAATGAATGCACACCGTGGCTATGTAAAAAGGAATTCCCATCGTGCCTAGTACATGACGACCAACCGGCTATGATAATCGACCGCGAACACTAAAGTGGGATAAATTCCTCAGTCACGTCCACTGATTGAGCTGCTTCACGTAGGTTCAAAACCACTGTGTTGATGGATAGATAATGGTCTCAGTCTTGTTTCACTTTTCACACAGCTGGTACAAGTTTGTTCACCATAAGGCAAAATCAGACGAACTACCACAGTTTTTGCTCAACCGTTCGAAAACGGCGGCATTTTGAGCGCTGTTCCACGTCACAAGAGAAATTCATTGTATACTTCATGGTACTTGGGCCTAAATTTAATCACCCCACGACAGTGTTCGTACAGAAACTGGGTTGTTAGAGTATCACCCCTTCCGGGTAGAGTGCACTGACCGTTGTTAGGTATTATTGCAACAGTCATGCACAACGCCTCAGAAGGAAATTGGCACGCATTAACTTATATTTAAATGCAAAACAATGAGAGAACATGTAGGACAAGAGCGCGATAAAATAAACGTACTTCCTGAAGTTCCATTGAAACGGAGAAAGTCTGTGTCTTCACTGACCACCCTTTCTGTGGCACGTCATCTATGAGGTTTCGTAACAACACCATTTTGTAGGTTTGTGAACAAGGCAATGATACATATGTACAGTTGCTATTATTTTTATTTTCAAACTCATCGGAAACAGAGTGTATATCACGAACCAAGAAAACGGTGCGAAATAAATCGTTGCCACTTACACGTGTGTCATTATGAAATTTGGCTGTACACAATCAGTTCCGCTTCAACACAAGTATACATCGATGCAAACTCTCGATCAGAGAATTGATTATTTTTCTTTGTAAAACCTCTGCACTTAAATTAAAGCTCATTTCAGCTCTTCCACTGTTTAAAACTGTCGTCCGTATTCACTTAATATCTTTTTAATGACATCCTAATCGTCCTCCGTAGGGTTTCTATCTGGATGGGGGTATGAAAAACCAAAATGGGAGACTTGGTCATATAGGTCGCGCTAGGCTCCCTGGGTGAGGAGCTCGGGATCATTGTAATCAATGGTTAGAGACACTGAGAGATATGGCTGAGTGTCATACGTAAACAGTGGCGTTTGTGCATCTCAATTTATGCGCAACCTTAGTACATTGAAATTGTCCATTTTTTCTTCAAATCTACCTCCGATTTCCCTGTATTTCTCCTACTTATTCATCCAAAATCAGCAACCAAAACCGCAGCACGAAAGTGCATGGTTGATGGTTTTACAAAATGAACTGAACTTCCATCTGGACTATGTGAAGGTCAACCTAATAAGGTTATAGCTCGGTGTAAAATGTATGCTCTTGTCAAGCGCGTCACACGTACCGAGGAGGGCCCGTTTTGTTGAAAACACCGGATTCCTCATGATGCCCAGCCTGCTGTGAACTGCCTATGAGGAATGATCATTGTGTCAGTTATCAGAGTATTGTGTTACAAATTTGATTTTCCTCCTACGGATCAAACCAATCTGTCCCCACATTCGCGACAGAAAATTGTTACAAGACTCCAAACAGATAGAAACAGCCTACCACGGAAACCGATGGAAAGCTGATGAACAGCAATTGTGGAGGAGATGGTTGCGAAAATGGAGTGCATCTCCATTATGAATTCATCAGATCCTGTAAACGTGGCATTCGAGTTAAATCTGTTGGGACTGTAGTAAAAAGAATTGTCAGAAAGCTACTTCCTCATCCAGTCTAAAAACGTTTTCCCTCGATCACTATTAACTACCAATGGAGTTTTTTGATGAGTTTGAATATCCGCGTCAGTGAGCCAACTTTATACAACTATATGATTTCCCCGATAAATCCACCTTGTGCTTGCATTCTGTGAAGAACCACACATACGAGAGATGATCGTCGTACTAAGGGATGCCCCCACTTTCTACGAAAGCTATTGTCAAGGTGACAAAAGTGAGCGTTCCTTTCCTAGTTTTATCCCAATTTTCCCAGTGTTCTGTTCCTGTGTTATGTCCTCTGTTTCCGAATTTACCTCTGTGCTTTTGACACAGCCTAGATGATTGATCTACCTTGTAGATGTCTTTTTCCATGATTTGTTGTATGCGCTTCTTAATATAATTCTTCTTCTCTATCTTTACAAGATGGCAAACAGTTGAATCTCTGTTTCTACTTTTATCTTTTCTATAGGTAATGGTAAAATATTGCTAACTGGGGTCATTGGTTGTGAAAACTGAAACTGAAACATTGTTTCAGTTTTCGAGGGACCGGGGATTGGGGGTTCCCTATGCATTCAATGCTACCGACTTCATTGTGCTCTTCCGCCATTTTTCTGTAGCCAAACCATTGAGATTGATGGAGTTTGGCATAAAGATCATTCAACTTATCATCGTATCGAATAGTGAAACAAACTTTTATTATCACCCTGACAAACTGATTAATCCTAGGGATGTGTTTTGTGGAGACCAAATGTTACGAACCTTCTTCTTGAGTGTTATTATTGAAGCACACTCCATATTTGATGGCGTGATTTGCACGAGTCTATCAAACTGCATATGTTGTAATTCAGATTAGACGGGTGAAATTCAATGACAAAAAAGTCCAGCCTGGATGGCACTGATGCGCTCGAGGCACTAACAGCATGACCTTAGTAAGAAAAAGATGACTTTCTGTCGCCTAGCCTAACGCGGGAATTTTCCATGCTTTTGGAAACCTTCAGCGGACCATTCTCAAAGAAAATCAGACAGCTGACTCAGCTGTGAAAAAATGCTCAACTATTTTTTGGCGTCAGTATTTCAAGAAAATTTACAGGAAATCAATGATTTTTCAACAGGATACCTCATCTGTACCCACATCCCAGCCCTTCTCCTCCCCAGAGTACTTGAAGCAAAGTAAAAATGTTTGGAGTCTATTGATGAGGTGGGTTCTTGCATATTTAGATGTACTGTGGTGACCCAAGCCTCCCAGATAACTTCAACCAAGTGGTTATGCGTTCCAGTTCCTGGAAATCGGATCACAGGCCAAAAGCATCGACCAATCAAAGGTTATGCAGTTCAAGCGGAAGTCGTTCGACTTGATGGTCGGTTGATGCTCGTTTAACCAATGAAATTGATAACTTTATGCTATTTAGTCCAATTGATTTCTTTCAATAAATAGACCGCTACTTATTTGGCCTTCTTCCTTCATCTTGGTAATTGGAGGCTCCTGCGTCTCAGTGTTTCATCCGCAATTACGACTGCTGATTCGTATCTACTCCGATTGATACAAGTACTCCGTCGCGCACATGAATTAAAAACAGTTATTCTTTATTGATAAAAGGGTCTTGAATTTCAAAGAATGCAAAACATGACTACTCATATACGTAACTAATGGTCGTGTTTTAGTAATGATTAGTCCAAGTCAGTGAATTTTACAACCGGAGGAAGGAGGTGATAAGATTTCCGTGCCCCCAAACATATCTCCTCGGATAAATCAGTTCATCAGGGTCATGATTAACATTC